TTTTTTTTTTTTTTGGGGGAGTGGTGGGACGGGGCGAGGGGGGAAGGGAGGAGGGGGAATAAATGCATTTTTTTTAAACAGCGATTTACAACTGCTTTAAAATTCAGCTATGCTGCGATCACTGTGGTACCATATATTAGTCTTACAGTGTTACTTGGAGAGGGGGCGGGGAATTTTAGTAATACTGCCAAATTTAGTAATTTTTTAATTATTCGAAGTAATGCAGATTTTTTATTAGTGAAAAATTTAAAGAAAAACAAATGTTAGTAAAAAAATAATGACAAATTAGTAACAAAAAAAAATTAGCAAGTTTTAGTAATTATTGGTAACAAATTTGTAAATTTAGTGATTATTCGATGTAACACAGGTTTTTTGTTAGTAAAAAATTTCAAAAAAGCAAATATTAGTAAACAAGTAATAGCAAATTAATGATAAAAAGTTGCAAAATTTAGTAATTATTGGTAATAAAATAGTAATTATTCGACATATTCGAATATAGGTTATTTAGAAGATTATTCTAAGTAATATTATCTTTACTCTCATGCACGGAGTAGCGATCGCTAGGTGGAAGGAAAAGTAAGGATTTGACTCAAAAAGCGCCAGATTTAAGCAAAAAGATAGGAAATTCAGGTAAAACGCGCAAAAATCAGCTACGCTGAAAAGAATATTGAAAAACTGAGTACCAAAAACAACATTATTTCATATAAACGTGAAAATTTTTAGTTCACTTTGGGTTTTTTACGCAGGATTTATGCAAAAAGACGGAAAATTTGGTTAAAATGCACAAAAATCAATTGCGCTGAAAAGAATATTGAAAAAATGAGTACCAAAAATAACCTTGTAATATAAAAACGTGAAAATTCTTACTTCATTTTGGGTTTTTTCGTTTCGACTTATGCAAAAAGAGGGAAAATTCGGGTAAAACACGCAAAAATCAATTACGCTGAAAAGAATACAGAAAAGTCTAGTACCAAAAACAACCTTATTTTCATAAAAAAGTGGAAATCCCTCGTTTACCTTAATGTTTTTTTTTTTTTTTTCAGAATATTGCACCATTTGAGACAAAAACGGTGATAAATACGAAATTACTTGGGGCACAAGAAAGAAATGCCACTGCTTATGTGAAAATCAAAGCCGACTGGACAAGACGTCGAGAAGAGGGTAGTACGCAGCAGAGGCCAGCAATAGCAGCAGTGGCAGAATCTGTAAATGAAACAACTGGCAATGATAGTGATGGTGGCGTGGAACATGTGGAGGAAACACTGATTGTGCCGGTTGAAGTTAGAAATTCAAATTTTTCCCCGGAAATTACCTGAACTAATTGCTACAAATTGGTAATTCATCGTTCAGATCTCTCTGTTTTATATAGCTTGCAAATTTTCCGCTTGACCACGGCTTCCAAACTTTTTAATTAGTTGTCACTGCGGGCTGAAGCCCTTCGCCTTGCCCGGTTGCTCTTCGATTCCATGTGACATGCAAATGTCCCGTCTCCTGATTCGAGTTCTCCCGTCTGTGATATGTAATGATGTGATTAGAAATGGAATGGTGTTTGTTTTTGTGTGCCAGATAATTGTGCAACGGCAGCTTGGAGCTTTTCCGCGCCTTATATAGTAGTGGATCGGATCAGCATGCCGTGGCCTTAGTAACTTATCGTAGGTACCACTTAGAGCTGTTCATTTCGTCCATCTTTTGTCTGTCAGCATTATGCATGATTAGCCCAGCTTCTTTTCCTTGCATACATTACCTGTACAGCTTCTTTTACACCAGAATATGGCCACTGCAGGTTGATTATGTGCTGCAACTTGCTGACACCTAAAATACATCTTTCGAAAATTAAATTTTTTCCATTTTGGGCATCCCTCTAGGAATTTTTGTCTTTTCCCAGGAAAATTTTCCAAAAAAGTTGCTTTTTTTTCCTTATATTCTTTTCCTCTTTTTTTTGCAGAAAACTTACATTATGTTTGTTTAATTTTCTAAATTAAAGAAATTTGAAGGCAGAAATTGTTCGAAAACGTGGTTTGTTCGCTGCGGTGGATATTCTTGATTTCGGGTTAGTGAGAGCCGGTGATAAATCGCGTGAGCTGTTGCTACAGATTGTTTCCAATCTTGAAAAAACCATTGAAATTGAGGTATGCTACGACATTTTTTTTTTT